ATTTTCCCAGCCAAAAAAGGTGAATCCCAGCTTCTGGACCCTTCAGGACCCTCTTCAAATGACGACAAGAAGTCCCTATAGTTTCAGGTTGAAGTTTGCTAAACATGATCACCTCACCTCCATTTACAAACCCATGAATTTAATTCCATTTACAAATACTGTCAAAACATTTATTTTATTTATTTTTGATTATAACTTTAATTAATTTTCAACTTAACGGGACAGGATATGGTTACAGGGCTGATGCCCCAATTGGTTAACGACACCCCATATACCCCTTAATTAAACGCTTGTTACCTTTTCTTTTATTTTAGCGCCGTCCAAGCCGCCATTTAATGCATTAGTAACGAATTTATCGAGTTCCACTGAATTAATGATTTCCTGGGAACCTCCTCCAGCGGAAAGCTTAGGCGGTATCCTACAAGGGTATACYTTAAGATACAAAAAAAAGACGACATCAGGAACACCTTTGGAAGATGACACCTCTTTTGATGTCAAGATGCTGGGACCGTCTCTCCGTAACTGTACTTTAAGGAACATGGTGCCACATTCGGTGTACGAGATAGGAATAGCTGCAAGAACTGGTGCTGGTTCGGGTCCCTTTGCTGTAATATACGGAGGTAGGTCAAACTGAAATTAAAGACCTTTATTGGAAAACGAACTTGCTTGGTACTGCGGCACAAACCTTAAACTGCAATTCGACGTTAACCATTTTCTGCCTAACTTTCGCCATTTACATAGCAAGGCGTCTCTACTAATCATTGAATTACTTCTTAAACATGATTAGCACGAAGTCTACCTTTTTAAGGACTTTTACATTTGTTAAGGTTACCCTGTTTGGTAATTAATATTTATTATTAGTGATAAACTATTGATGTAGCCAAATATAAAGATGTAAAGTTCAAGTTTTATTAAGAAAGGGTGACAGGTTACAATCAAATCACAACTGACAAAGGTGTGGTCGTCTCTAATTAATGGTTCTAGATGAGATAGCATTCATCTGAACCACTGATAAGGTGTTAGAGTTAACACCTTTTACACCAGATACTTTTRTAACCTTAGTAAAGCATGGTGCTGATCTTATAAACCAGATTGACTAGACACTTGTAGACATCTATTATTAATAGCTAATGAGCAACCTGCACTCAGGCTGCCAGTCTTTTGGGAGTAATTGAAAAATACTACCAAATTGGAATTCCTCACAAAGCATTGTTTTTTTTCTTGTAGAAACCTGCCGATGTCCAAGAATTATCAATACCAACTACTGGTTCCTTGCTCCATACCTTTATAAAACAGAAGATGGAAAGCTCAACGGTATCTTTGCTCAGATCATACCTANGACGACATCAGGAACACCTTTGGAAGATGACACTTCTTTTGATGTCAAGATGCTGGGACCGTCTCTCCGTAAATATACTTTAACGAACATGGTGCCACATTCGGTGTACGAGATAGGAATAGCTGCAAGAACTGGTGCTGGTTCGGGTCCCTTTGCTGTAATATACGGAGGTAGGGCAAACTGATATTAAAGACCTTTATTGGAAAACGAACTTGCTTGGTACCGCAGCACAAACCTTAAACTGCAATTCGACGTTAGCCGTTTTCTGCCTAACTTTCGCCATTTACATAGCAAGGCATCTCTGCTAATCATTGAATTACTTCTTAAACATGATTAGCATGAAGTCTACCTTTTTGAGGACTTTTACATTTTGTTAAGGTTACCCTGTTTGGTAATTAATATTTATTGATAGTGATAAACTATTAATGTAGCCAAATAAAAAGATGTAAAGTTCAAGTTTTATTAAGAAAGGGTGACAGGTTACAATCAAATCACAACTGACAAAGGTGTGGTCGTCTCTAATTAACGGTTCTAGATAAGATAGCATTCATCCGAAACCACTGATAAGGTGTTAGAGTTAACACCTTTTACACCAGATACTTTTGTATCCTTAGTAAAGCATGGTGCTGATCTTATAAACCAGATTGACTAGACACTTGTAGACGTCTATTATAGCTAATGAGCAACCTGCACTCAGGCTGCCAGTCTTTGGAATTCCTCACAAAGCATTGTTTTTTTTCTTGTAGAAACCTGCCGATGTCCAAGAATTATCAATACCAACTACTGGTTCCTTGCTCCATACCTTTATAAAACAGAAGATGGAAAGCTCAACGGTATCTTTGCTCAGATCATACCTACTGTAACATGATCAAATGGGCATGCGGAGACTGTAAGAATGGTCACGGTGAAACAGTTGTTGATCTTGTGAATGATGCTGTTGGCTTATCGGCGGGGAAAAAAAGCATGATAGACGTAATTGGGAATGTCCATAATGGAGCGCAAGTCAGCTTTCCAATTAATGGGAATAAATATATGAATAGAGTGAGTACTGCTTTTGGTGRTGAGTGTGTTATTGTAACAGAGTGTGGTGTTGTTAAGAAAAAGATAGACAATTTAAGGACATTTAAGTTTAAGGGGCACATCGGAGTGACTGCCTCTTCCTACATTATGCCAATGCACAGGAATCCTTGTGTAATTGTAATCTTATCTAGACTTGCATTTTCCAGGTATTTGGAGACCAGCCGTTTGTGTCTGTGGTAGAATCTCCAGGAATTGTTTTCCTCACACTACCACAACCAGCTGACTCAGCAGCAYGGATTATAATCAAATCCTTTACAACCACATTTCCTTTATTACTGTTTTCCTTCACTTTAATATTTTTGTCTGGGTTTGTTGTGTGGTTATTGGTAAGTCGTTCTCACACTTATATGCTCCTTTTTAATGACTTCCATTTTATATATAATTTAAAATATAAAAATATGATTGGATTAATTATTTACTCCATGGTGGACAGAAGCCTAAAAGAGGTTTTGCAACTCGTGGAGGGAGGGAATAAAGTTTTGGCAACTTGTGCCTTTTTTACCATTTACCTCTCTCATAAATGTTATAAATGTTTTTTTAACACAATAAAAAAGAATGACAAGTTTTTT